TAGAAGAACAGGAACGATAAGATTAAAGAAAACTCAGATATTTTATTAAACGTTTGAAATATAATTAGAAAATGCTATAATTTAATTTAGAAAATGCTCGGGGAAAACCAAGAGAACTCTTCGGATAAAACTGCATAAAACTAATGATTGCTTCACATATGTCAAAAAAAGTTTTAGATTTTAACTGGAGAACGAGCGAGGTTAAAGGAGAGAGCAAACTGAATCAACGTATACATTGCTCATGATAAAATTAGAGAACGCTGATCATAAAACTTGAGAATGCTAGTTAGATAGCGAATGCTCCTTGGGTAGCGAGTACAACATCCAGTACCGCTGGATGCGCTACACTTAAGGATCGTATGGTCCAGTGGATTAGGGAGCCATGTGTTTTCGTCCACCATGAGGCAGGCCAAAGCAGCATGGGTTCGACTCCTTGGCTTGTGCAGTGTTGTTATTGATCAATACCACTCGTTCGTGGTCACACTAATATAAAATATTGCTCGTTGTACTAGTACACCAAACAGGGACTAGAATGAAATTAGCCTAGAGTCATCCACACCATCGTGTGTCCTTGGGTAGCGAGTACAACATTCAGTTCTGCTGGATGCGCTACAATTAAGGATCGTATGGTCCAGTGGATTAGGGCGTCATGTGTTTTCGCCCACCATGAGGCAGGCCAAAGCAGCATGGGTTCGAGTCCTTGGCTAGTGCAGTGTTGTTATAAATTATATATATATATATATATATATATATATATATATATATATATATATATATATATATATATATATATATGTGTGTGTGTGTGTGTTATATGTATATATATTGCCCTACCAGCTTTCCTATCCTCTTCCATAGCATCAAATGAGTTAAAACAAATTCTTCCGGACAACTTCAGTGACGCAGCAGGAATACAGGACCCTAGCTACACGAGTGCCATCACTGAATGGGAGACTCTTGCTGCTCCAGCACCAAAACCTAGTGCAGAACTGACCTACAAACAGACAAGTTGGGATGCCCCATCGCTGAAAATGTACCTGCCAACATGCTTAGGGCTGTAACATCAGACAGGGAGACCGCTTGTCTCCAAGATGTGAGTGTACCTCACTCTGGGGACTTCGTCCATACAGTTCGTACTTCGGCAATGGGAACACGCCTCGACCTTAAGACCCTCCATATTGCAGTGGCTCTGCACCTTGCTGCCCCAATTCACACGGAATGTACGCGTATTTGCGGCGATGCGCAAGCCGACCAATATGGTCTACATGGTTTTAACTGTTTCAAAACCAAGGGCTGGAATGCAAGACACAATGATGTCAACGACATCATAAAGAGAACCCTTGCTACAGTTGGATGCCCAGTCGAGAGAGAGCCCCGATCATTAGCAGCCAACAATACCCACAACCCAGCAAACTGCCCCGACGGGATCACCATCTATCCTTGGAAGAATGGCAAGCTCTTAGCATGGGACTATACCTGTGTGTCGACGCTGGCTGACACCTATATCCATCACAGTGTCGGGCGACAGGGAGGAGCTACTGATCACAGGGAGGAGTACAAGTTCAGCAAGTACAGAGACATAAGCCAAGAGTATCAATTTGTCCCATTGGGATCAGAGATCTTGGAATCATGGGGAAAAAATGCCACACATTTCCTTAAAGAACTGGGTTCCAGACTCATCGACAACACCAGGGACCCAACGGCAGCCACTTTCATGTCCCAGCACCTCAGCGTGGCCATATAGAAGGATAATGCTTGCTGCATACATGGCTCGCGTCCGGCTTCGGATGAGCTGGAGGAAATTCATTCATAATCTTTGGTATATTGCACTAATGTATTCATGTTTGTTTTCTGTCAATGCATTCTGTCTATCAAAATCTCATATATAAATATAGGGGGTGGTAGGAGAAGAAAATATTCAAACAGCTTCTGAGAGAACCTTGAGTTTTCCCTGAGGTACGTTTATTGTCTTCTCTGAGGACGAGGGTCCCCAGTAAAATTCTAGAGAAGGTTCCCAGGAATCTTCACGACAGAGCCAAAGCTGTCGTTCACGAAGAATCTGCCGGGTGTGCTACAGGGAATGTGCACTCAGTCCCACAACTGGCAACATCCGTGCACACAGTGGATGTCTAGACTCCAGGAGAGCTCCG